AAAGTGTGCAGGATCTTTTCAGAATTTTTTTTTTCAGCTATAAGGCCCAGTCTACCTCAATGATACAAATTTGGAGGCACTATTAGAAAGTTTTTTTTTTTTGTTGTTGTTGTTTACACATTTCCATTTTGTGATAGAAACCATTTAGGATTTAGCATGACAAATCAATTCCTTACAGTGGAATTGTAGGAAACTGCTAAAATCTCAAATTTAATCTATTCTATGTCCAACTAAAAAGCCTATATAACATCTGATAGAAATCTGTTGGCTGCTGCACTAACAATTAATAGGATTAATCTGTTCAAGTTCAGGCTAATTTTATGTGCTGCAACTTGAAGAGCTTTCCTATCAAATGGTATGTTTGCTATGCCTAAGATTGAGTTTGCCTATGGTATTAACAGCCCACGTTAAAGAGACTTTCATGGAAGCTAGTTATTCAAGAAGACTTTCGTCAATTTCTGAATCAATCTATTTAAGATGCAATTCATTTCTCTTCTAAATACCAGCATTCTACTATCCCAATGGGTCTTTTTTAAAAGATATTTTTGTCCTGCCTTTATTATTTTTATAAATAATTCAAGGCAGTTATTTGGAAAAATAAAAAAAACAGGACAAAAAGGGTAGTGAACATATCTAACATACCATAATCCTCCCTTCTCCTATTTCCCCTAGGATAACAACCCTGTGAATGAGTTGGGCTAAAAGAGAGAGATTGGCCCAAAATTACCCAGCTGGCTTTCATGTCTAAGGTGGAACTAGAATTCCAAGTCTCCCGGATTCTAACCTGCTGCCTTAACCACTAAAACAAAATTGGCGTTTAACCTTTTTGTGTCATTAATTCCTTTTAGAGACTGGTGAAATCAGTGGTGGGTTGCCCCTGTTTCAGACCGGTTCGCAAGAACCGGTAGTAAAACCGGCGGGAGGCCCGGCCACAGCCCTGGATGTCGTCATCAGCGATCTGCACATGTGCAGAAGCAAGGCGCGAGCGAGCGAGAGCGAAGCGAGTGCACGATCCCGTTGCAAACCGGTAGTAAAGGTAAGTAGAACCCACCCCTGGGTGAAATCTACAGTCTACGGTTTACAAATATATTGAAATTCATGGACAGAGACTGTAGTACTGCTGATTATGCTCAAATATAATTATCAAAATATGAAAAAATAACATGTAATATCATGATATGCTTCTTTATTAATCCATTAACTCAATGATAAGACAATACCTTTTTTGGGAGGAAGGGTATTATAATTTTAGATAGTAAAATATCATTTTTGGAGACTATAGGCCATAAATTACTTCACTGCCAAACGCATTATTGAATGAAAAGCTAAATTTCAGCGACAGGTTAGTGAAAATAAAGCTGATTTTTTTTTCTCCCATCCAAGTTCATGGACCCCCTGGAATTTATCTATGAACTTTCAAGGGATCTGTGGCTCCCTGGTCAAGAACTTTGTATTATTCCCTTGTTTGGAAGCTAAACAACCTTTTTGGATTAGTGACACATTTAGAAGTCTTCTATAGTCCCTTGAATGATTTTTAACACATCTTGTAATCTTTTTACAAAGCGGGAGCAGGGAGGTAACATTTCCAAATAAAACTCTGGGATGCAGCTACCCAATAGTTTAATTTTCTAAGCGTAAGGCTAATACAAACCCAGAAGCATTACTGGTAATAAAGATGATACAAGCAAATTTGCCACACGCCAGCTTCCCATTGATTTTTTTTAATTAAAACAATGTAAGGAAAAGTACAAGGACAGGGAGTTTAATATATTTGATATGATACGTTTATTATACCCCAGAGTTTTAACAAAATTATTTACCAGGAAAACTTTTTCTTAATCTACATATTAGTCCAAACATCTGCATTTAGTTATTAGTCAATGTGTAAATTATCTTGTAAAACAAAAGGACTTACTTGGCCCAAGGTAAAAAAAAAATCCACTGTATAACTGAATATGTATAGAGGTAGGAAGCCTATGGCCCTTCTGGTGCTGCTGAACAACAATTCTCAGCATTCCTACATTTATCATGTTGCCTGAGATTGTGTGAATTGTAGTTCAGCCATGACAGGAAAATGGTGAATTCCCTATTTTGCTGTAAAATATAAGTACCCGATGGCAAGGATGATTTAGTAGTCAACTGTTTTATGTAACATGGGCATCTATCAACTATTGTGCCTATTGTTGCATATTTGTCTACTATACCTACTACTACTACTATTTACAAATAGTTGTAAGCAGTAGTCCCCCACTTACAATTATTTGCTTAGTGACTGTTCAAAGTTACTACAGCATTGAAAAAAGTTACTTACAACCATTTTTTTCATACTTAACAGCCACTGCAGCATCCAATGGCTGTTGTAGACACGTGATCACAATTTGAGGGGTTGGCAACCAACATGTATTTACAACTGTTGCAACATCCTAAGTTAGTGCGATTGCCATTTGTGACCTTCCCAGACTACTTCCAACAAGCAGCATCAATGGGGAAAACTGAATTCACTTAACAACCACATGATTCACTTAACAACTGTGACAGAAAAGATCATAAAATCTGGTACAACTCACTTAATAACTATCTGTAACTTTGTAACTTTGTTGCTTGTATCCTTACGATTTATATTGATATTGACTATCATTAAGTGTTGTACCTTATGATTCTTGATTAATGTATCTTTTGTTTTATGTATACTGAGAGCATATGCACCAAGACAAATTCCTTGTGTGTCCAATTGCACTTGGCCAATAAAAAATTCTATTCTATTCTATTCTATTCTATTCTATTCTATTCTATTCTATTCTATTCTATTCTATTCTATTCTATTCTATTCTATTCTATTCTTTTATAGCAATGAAAATTGTGGTCCCAATGTGATTGTGGGTCAGGGACTACCTGTATATAGCCTAATTTGTTCTAATTAAAATATATGCGAAAAAGTTTTACAGCTAGTTCACTGCCATTTTTAAGATATGAAAATCTATTAAATAAACAAACACTCCGCAGAACCATCTACTTGTTAATATTTTATAGAGCAAAGCTACAGTGAGCATCTATCACCTGAAACAGAATAAAATCATTGCAACACAAGTTAATTCTTTCATTATGATTCTGAGATACTAGTGACAGTCTGTCAATAATTGTATTCATTTTATGAAGTTGCATTGCTGCATTGCTAATTTTTTACAACTTTTAAAATATCTTTGTTTATTTTTAAAATATGATATAAAATATTCAACAGGTTTACTGAAACTCAGTAAACCAACCTGTGAAATAATATCTAAGAACAGAGGAAAATTCAGGCTATTGCTATTCAAATTCAGGAGACTCCTCTGTCTCTGTGGAGTTCATCTCCATCTGTAGATTCTGTCTCACAAGTTTTTAAACAACTTTAGAAATCAACTCAGGAATATTACAATATATAACCATTCATGATCAGAGAAACATCCCTGTTAATACAAAATAAAAGGAAGTAAAGTATGACTCCATGATACAACAGGCTCCATTGATTTCAAGAATTCTTATGCAAGTATGTGTCAGATTGCCAACAAGGTACACACAGTCTAATAAAAAATTATCCTACAGAGCATTTTGAAATTCAATGGAAATTACAGATATAAGAATCTCCCTAGACTGTAGATCTCTGATTGTAAGCTCTGATACCTGATATGAAAATTGGGAGCTTCTTTTGCACAATCTTAATTATTCATAATTTCTGAAAACGTGCCTCCTAAATATTTAATAGTTTTCATTAATTTTCTTTTCATAGAACATTTATTTGGTTATTTGTTTTTATTTTATTTTGTAGACTTCAAATATGGGTTAAAGGGGAATTGATTATTGTTGAAATGCAGACTTTAGCATTTAAACAGTTATTAGGTATTCTATTCTGATCAATTAACTGAACAACAAGAGATGTATAGTTGAAGATTATAAAAATTACATTTCATTCTGGGCAGATTTCCAACTCATGAAATGGCATGCTGTTTGCAATTGTTTCAGTACAGTTAGGAGAAGCAGAAAACCACGCCTTTCTCCATCAAGATACACATCCATCAGTTCAGCAAATGTCATGGAAATATCCAGACACAACATGAAAACAGCAACCAGAAGACACAAATAGGATTTAAATTGGAATGATGCTTGGTTATATCCAAGGGAGTTCAAAGTTGAAATAAAGTTGATATTTTTATATAATTGATCTAGAGAGATAACATAAGCATATTAACTTTTAAAAAGTAGTATTTTAAACTTCTTACAATAAAGAGTTTCAGTTTGCAAAAAAATCCACAAAAGAATAGGTCTTTTCTTTCACCCAGATCTGTCAGAGGGAAGTACACCCCTTAACTTGCTGTGAATTAGCATTGATTTCTTCTTCCAATACCCTCCAGTTGTATAGGAACATATCTGCTATCATCCCCTGGCAGCATTTTGAAGATTGTGGATAATGGATATCATAGACTAACACAACTTAAGTGAGAACACCAAGTGGAGGGAGAAGGATAACTGTAACGGAAAACTGAAGTAGAAGCGAAAGAGAACAAGTTCCATTACCAAATCACCTATCAAAATTGATCCCTTCTACTATAAGCTCCTTGACTTTAGCTTTGTGTATACAGGCAATCACACAAATGCTTGGCCTTGGGGTTACAGCCTTCCTTCATTTGTACATGGGTGTCCTGAGCTTTTCCTGTTGCTATGCCATGGGCTTTTTCTTTCTATTTAAAAAGTTGCAAGATGGAACATTCTGCTCCCTAGTTCTTTCTCCCCAAACTTTAGAGGACAGACAAGCTTGGCAGTCCCCATCAGTTGGTGTCTTAATGTCAAAACCTTAAGGCAGCTTTGGGAAGGAATGAAGCTGGAGGTGTCCCAAGTGAAGTGGGGATGGGGGGTGGGGAGAGAAAGTAGAGAGAAGACTTCAGCTAGAAAGGTGTGAAGGTCCCAGCTCACACCTACTTGACAGACTTTACCGGGGACCCCACTGGTTTCATACGTACACTCACCTGCTCTGGGCCCTGAAAGCAGATCCTGCAGAGAGGCGTTCTCATTCCACTATCCAAACTGCTCCCCAGCGAATACCCATCCTCCGCCTTCCCTTTGCAGAAGTCGTCGGAGGAGGCGCTGCTCATCACAGTCGTGGGAAGCTCTCCCTCTCCCCCAGGGCTTTCCCACTCTTCTTCGGGGGGGCTCGTGGTGCCCCCTCCTCCTCCTCCATCACCCCCACCATCCCCGTCCGTCGGCGCTCTCCGAGGAGCCCATCGCCCTCCATATAGCGTAGTCAGCGTGTTGTTATTAGACGCCTGTAAACTCAAGGCTTGGTCTGTTCTGCTCATGGGAGGGAGAGGCAGCGGCGAGGGCGGAGGAGGGGCCGGGGGTCTCCGCAGAAGGAAGACCTTCAAGTCATTGAACAACATGCGGCAGCGGCACTTGAGGAGACCCTGATGGTGCAACATCTGTCTGGGGATCAAGAGTCCAGAGCAACAGTACCAGAAAACGATCACGCGAGTTGATATTAACATGTGCCTTTTCTTTCAGACAGTCGCGGGCAAGAAAAATGCAGACCGGTAGAGGGCGCACAAGAACAAGAGGGCTGAATTGGTTCACTTCCGCTTCCTTTCCCTTGGCTGCCCTCACCGAGACAGACTAGTTTGCTAACAAAAGTGGGAAATTGGCAGGAGGATATTTTTTTTTCCTCTTGTATATTTCACAGCATGCGGGCAAAGATAATGACTTTTTTTTCCTCTTTCCCCCCAACTCTCTCCTTTTTAAAAAGCAAAGGATTAAATTTCAGTCTCTTTTCCACCCACCTTTTTAAAAAAATAAATAAATCCGAGAATTTTTTTGGGAACAAAAAGAATAAAATAAAATAGGAACAAGCGTTCTACCCTTTACGTGCTGGGTAAAGCTCGTTCAAAGAAATATCGAGAAAGGGACCGATAATTCCAGAAGCAGAAAGTGGATGAGAGAGAGAGAGAGAATTCAAGTCACTAGAAAGTGTGGAGAGAAGGGAGAAAACGGTTCGTTCAAAAGTATTTGACATATCAAACAATTTCCTTATTATTAGTTTTTAAACTTAGTAGGAACATTTAAAAATGTGCTTTTGATAGAACAACAGGAGAGACGATAATTATTAAAATGCAAAAATAGTTTCTTTTGCTATCGCCATCATTAAGAATAGGAATATCAAAACTGGATTTCATTGACCCAAAGGGGAAAAAAGCACATTTTTCATGAAGAAAGGGAGAAACACATGCTTAATTTTAATTCCTCATCAGATGTTCCATTTACTACTTTATTAAAATATTCTGAATAGAAATAGAAAAAGTCCTGAAAGGAAGTGAGTATTAGAGGAGGTTAATTTTGACTCCCAAGACTGACTGGATTTTGCTTTACCTCCCGCGTTCGAGGAACTGTCTGGACCACACGCAACCACTGGGGGAAAAAACAAAAACCCAACAAAACAAAACCCGGAGATTGAGGAGGAGACCCTAAAGCGGAGTTATTCCATAATTGTTTTCCGCCTTGGATTTGACACACATCCGTCGAGATCTAAGAGATCCTTTTGCATGACATTGATTCAGCGAAACGTGGATCTTACATTGTCACGTTTCCTTTCCCCCTTTCACAAAACAGGAACGTCATCAAACGCAGTGACAGTCCTTACAGACCATTGTGGCTGACGCGGAAGAAAAGGTGCATTCAGCAGATGCAGGGATCTCCTTTTGATGAATAAGACGCCGCTACAACTCTCTCCCGTTGCATCTGCCTCGTCCTCTCCTATCCTCCTCTTCCTCCTCCTCCTCCTCCTCTTTCTCCTTCTCCTCCTCCTCCTTCTCTGATGCTTGTTTTCGCTCAATGGCATTGACGCTCAACCATTGCAAGTCTTTAAAATAAAAGGAGGAAACACACAAACCAACAGCCGTAGATCGGATCCTCGCTTTGCTAGGGAGGATTGCCAAAAAGAAGGCGAAGGTTCGTTAGAAAAACGACGCGCCAGACTCAAAGCTCCGCGACAAAAGAAGGGGGGGCTTGTTTCGCTTGCAGCTTGTCTACCTCCCCTCCCCGTCTCGGCAGTTTGGCTTCTCTTGGTCGGCAGCCTCCCTCAACTCTCCATCCGGCTTTCCGTGATGATGTGGCTGTTGCTACCTCCTTGGGATGCAATGGGAAAGAAGGATAGTTTTGCGGTGCAAATGGGGATGTTGAAGAAGGGCGGGAGTGAGGGAGGCTGGGTGGGACGTGGTTCTTTCTCCGCCTCCTCCTCCTCTTCCTCCTCCACCTCTTGTCCAATCCTTAAATAAATAAAGCTAAGGCAGGAAAGGAAAGGGGAGGAGGAAAAATTTAAGTTGCAACCCAGGCTTGGTCTCCCGCCCCACGCCATCTCAATGGCCGGCAATCGCTGTCAATAAGCCGTTTGTGGTGCGCGGGGAAGAAACATCTTCTTCCGATAGAAAATGAGCCTGGGAAATTGGCGGCAGTAGCGGAAAGAATTGGGGAGGCGGGGCGGGGGAGTGAGAGAAGAAGAGGGGAGAGGGCGCCGCTGAGTCGAAATCGCGGCCACGATTTCAGCACTCAACGCCTCTGGACAGCTCCCCTCGCCGCTCAGCACCTCTAGCTATGGGGAGCTGACGCAACTAGCCCAGGCGGAGCCAGAAGGAAGGGGGCAGGGCCAGACAGAGGCCAAACCTTCCCGAGTGACCCTCCGCTTGGCGAGTCGCTCGTGTCCAAGCTAAACGTGCGTTATTTACACTTCACGTTTCCGCCTGCTTATACAGCGTGACGGAACGGGTCCTTTTTTTTTTTTTTTTTTTAGAAGGCAGAGGTGGTCAGTATTTGCTTATATGGCAAATATATAGGCAAGTGTCTGTGGAGATTCTCAGTCATCCAGGTTATGGTTGTCCCAAAGGTGCTTTCCCCCCCCACCCCCAAGAGGTAACTGGATTTTCTGGTTTCAACTGGACTCTCTGTTGCCTCTTGAGTCCAGTTGCCTCTTGGGGGTGGAGGTGGGGAAAGCACCTTTGGGATATATAGGCAACTATTTGCCTATATGCGGGATGGGGTTTTCTCCGCGGTGATGCCTTAAGGCTCTTTAAATCCGGTTTCTGCCTGTTGCTAATTTATGTGTGGCAGGACTTACGGTCCTTCCTTCGGCCTCCGGCTTCGGAATGATTTCTCAACGCTTGCTCATCCCTGTATGCTTAAAAAGGAGTGCATTTTGTACACGTGTGTCTTTAGGAAGTTAGGAGTTCTGCTAACTGCTTGGCTGTGGTTAATTTGAGGAGCAGGCGATGGACTATTTGGGGGGGGGGAAGGCTGCCATTCTCCCGCAGTTCTTAGGGATTTGGGAGATATGGGAGATCTGCAATACCACATTTTAACCACTGTCCACCAAGGCTCCTTACCTATTGATATTTGATTTGACAGAATGACAGTTGGAAGGCACTTTGTGGGTCATCTAGTCCAACACCCTCTCCTTAGGAGACCTTACACCATATCTGACAGATGGCAGTCCAGTCTCTTCTTGAAAGCTTCCCAGTGGTGAAGCTCCCACAACTTTCCAAGGCAACTTCTGTTCCATTGATTGATTGTTCTCACTTGTCAGAAAAATTCTCCTTATTTCTAGGTTGAATCTCCTTGATCAGTTTCCATCCATTATTCCTTGTCTGGCCTTCAGGTCTAGCCTTCAGGAAAACAGGTTGACCCCCCTCGTCTCTGTGACAGCCCCTCAAATATCATGTCTCCCCAGGTCCTTCTCTTCACTAGATTAGCCATGCCCAGTTCCTGTAACTGTTCTTCATATGTTTTAGTCTCCAGTCCCCTAATCATCTTTGTTGCTCTTCTATGCCCTCTTTCCAGATGGACTGAAGCCGAAAGGGTGTACATCCAATGCAATACCTCCACCCGCATCTGTGAGCTCTCTCTTAGGCTGCTGCTGAACACAGATTTAGCAATCAAGAGTCATAAAACTCTGCTCAGAAATAGCCCAGCTGACAGAGGAAGAATGTAGGGTGAAACGGGAAGGAGCTCCCGATGTCTAAAAATAATGGAATACTGCACTTTTGGGAGAGCCCAGCCTTATAGTTAAAGGAAGATGGATTTAAAAGAAAAAAGAAATGAATTGTTCTGACAATCCTAACCTATAACTAGCAAAACCTGACGATTCCTCTATTTTGGGAACATTTCCCCATGCCTTACTACTATCCCTTTCTTTCTCGTCTTTCCCTTTCCTCTTCCTTAGATGAGGGTGCTAATTTGTAATCATATGGCCAACTTCAAATGCTCAGTTTTGTGATCTCTTATTCAGCAGAAAGAAACAAGAAATACTGTCTGATTCTTAAGCCTCATGCACACCACTTACATCAATAAAATAAAAGGGTGTAACTTGAACATTGTGGCATGGCCACGACAGAAAGAGAATGAAGCATGTCATTGGGATACCTACATAGTGCATCTTATAGCAAATCTGATAGGAATGTAGCTCTAATATTTTGAGAGTAAAATAAGTGTTCGTCTGATATTTTGGGGCAGAACTGATGGCAACATCTCCACAATTCTTCAGCTCCATTTTAACAGTGACATTTCCAGAGGGCAGAACTACCTGAAAGGCCCAAGCTGTTAAAAATGCTATTCTTACCCAGCAGGTAAGATCCAGTATGAGATCCAGAAACATTTGTAGAAGTGGAAAGGAAAAAAGGGGGCATGTAGTGCCCCTTAAATCCAGATGAAGCACAGCAACTGTAGTAATTGATGATTGTTTTACTCTTGGTAGCTAATGCTCTGTGATAGAAAACAGAATCACGGAATCTAGCAGTCATTGTCCTTAAACTGTCCTGGTTTAAAATGTTAAGGGTAGCATACCAATTGTCAGCCTCATCACCCAGGCAGAATAGAGGTTATTGTCCTGTCAAAGAGCACAAATTATGCTTGGAAGGGATAAATGGACATTAATGAGTCCAGGAGGGCTTAGTGCTTCCACTATGAGAGTATATTGATCTTGTATTTATTTTTGTGTGACTGTGTCCCCTGTTCTTGATTTGGCTAGCAGCGTTTCATGGTACATTTATCCTTGCCCATCTTCAGAAATACCCCCCCCCAAAAAAAACAGATTGACACTTCTGTCATGAAGGTTGCTACAAATTATTCCATGGATATGTTTTTATACTTGAAAAAAATCATGCTGCTAGAATTTAGGATATTTTCCTTAATTTCTAACAGTCAAATCCCAGTAAGTGATAGTACTTTAGGATTCTGCTAAATCACATGACTTGATTTAGTAATTTAGAAGACTTCAGAAAGATCTATTTATATAATTTAGTAATTTTCATTTAAAGACAGGAAAAACTTTGGCCATAATAAAGGCATTTATTTTATTGGAAAGGTGCTGTCCTTTTAAACTTTATTTCCTTATCACAGAACCTGATGATACTGATTTTGGTGATGAGAATATATGAAAAAATAGATGTTATGATCTGATCACAGAATATTGTATATGAAAAAATATGGTAGCAAAATATGTCATGCAGTTGCTTTACAATGCCATTTTTACAATGGGCGTGCAAGGATGCAAGTTAATGAAGAATCAATAAAAACAACATTCTACCCAAACCAAATATATCAAATTATCTCACTGTCCATCCAGAAGAGGCAATAATTTGAGGATGAAAGGTAGTCATAAATCTTTCATAGATGTTTACCTTTTTCTATATTGTGACTAGAAAAAAACTGAACAAAAATTCATTTGTATAAGAGCATGGAGGGAGGGAGGGAGGGAGAGAGGGAGGGGAGGAGGGAGGGAGAGAGGGAGGAAGCAAGAGCAGAGAAATATAACAAAAAGCTTTAAAAGAAAGGCTAAAGAAAATGTATCAGTCCCTTGGCTAAACAGAAGAATAGTTGTTACCTTCTTTTGAAGGAATATGGCTCTCTTTATATAAGTAAAGCAAGATGAGACCAAATCAGCATTATTTTTGATTTCATTTCTCTCAGCTGCATTTGGATATTATGTGGCCTTGCTCTTGAAGTCTGATTATTTAGGATGCACCAATATGAGTATCTCTAGGATTCATATTTTCATCAAGAAACTCTTATCTAGGTATTGGATACGAGTGGCATTTTTATTTTGGGAGCGATGGAAGATTTGAATGCTTTGACTGTTTAATCAGTTTATTTTGTATTTAATTAGTTGTACACTGTTTTGAACTAACATTCTTAATATGAGAAGCAGCTTTCCAAAGTGAATTCAATAACTAATGCATAATGGGTGTCATTAACATGCGTATCACAGAGAGCTGAACAAGACAGATAGGATTCAAGTATCACTTAGAATTTGTATTTTCTTTTGTGATCTAAAAAAAATAAATAAGTAGGCTTTGATGAGGAAAATCATGAAAACCATTGAGGCTTCTGCACTGATGCCTGGTTAAATAGATTTTAAAACACCACCACCAATTGCTTGGCACAGTTAAGTAAAATCTACATTAATTTACTGCAAGTGTGTTATATGCTAACATGCCAAAAAGTTTGAAATGCTTCATCACTGAGAATGTTGGAAACATTGAAAATCTTATCTTAATTTGACTGTTGTTTTTCCAAAAACCCACTGGAAGTATTTCAAATATATTTAATTTTAGTAAATGGCTAGTAAGGTAAAAAAAAAACCCCACAAAAACAATAATTAAACACAACAAAGGCAGTGTAAAGGTAATGAAAAAGCTAAAAATTAAGATTTAAAAATGAAGACGGGAAAATGGACTAAGATACAAGAACTAAAAACAGAAGGTAAAACAGAAATAAATTTTTTATATATATATATATATAATTATATTATATTATATATATATATAATAGACTAAAAGAGAAAAGAAGGAATACACTTTCTTCTTTTCTCTTTTAATCTATTATATATTTTTATAATACTTTTATAATACTTCATAATATAATTATTTCAAGATTTGGCCATCTTATGTCTTCTTATAGAAATAACTGCAGAGAGAAGAATATGGCACCTCTGCCAGTGATTGTAGAGCTCTGATCTGTGAGTTGGAAACAAACTGCTTCTTCCATATAGCACATTCAGGTTTTGTCAGGAGGTGTGTGTCCGCACATAGGTTGGTGTTAAAAAGGCAGTGAAAAAAATACATGCATTAGATTTATTTGGACAGACATCATCTCTCATAAATGGAATCGTACTGTACCTCTGTACAAATACTGCTAAGGTTAAGGCATTGAAACAACTTGCCCCCCTCGCCCCCAAGTCTCTACAGTTTGCGAGGCAAATAAAGTTGTGTAAGTGGTTTATGGGTATAAATGATTTCCAATTTGGATTTCCACATCTGAAAGTTGACTATCATATTGAAATCTGTCTATTGTACAACGTCAAAGCCTCTTCCATAGATTTCAGCTTTAACTCTCTGTAAACCTACAAGCGGCAGAAAGTAGAAAGACAACAGTAAGACTGGTTAGCTAAGACTCTTTTCTTTTCAGTTTGATGAAAAGCCATAATGAAGAATCAACGAGAACAGGGAGCAGTGGTGAAATCCAATTTTTTTTTTACTGCCGGTTCTGTGGGCGTGGCTTGGTGGGTGTGG